TACTACGGTTATCTTTCCAGACCTAATTTAAAATATTAATCATACCTGTTGAAGTCATCACGCCAGACGAATTGTCGTCGCGGTGATTGTACACACAATAAGGCCGCTTGCATCGTCCCCATCGAAAAAGGGGACAGTCTATTTCATCGAAGAGAGATGTGGAAGGAAACATCTAGGCTAAAACTGTCCGCACGCTAGTATAAACAGCCCACCAGATTATTCTGTGCACTATTATCAATGTAAAGCAATTTCTCTATTTCCTCCGGGGTTATGCATCTGTGACACGGAAAAATTTGACAACATTTTTTTTTTTTTTCTGAAAAGGTTTTTGGGACGATGAAAATGGAAGAATCAGTATGAGAACGACGCGATCTGATCTTAACACAAATACGTGTGTAACGCTTGTGAAATTGGGAAGGACTGTTGCTACGTTACCAGCTGATAGTGCGAGTGTTTTAATGAACTCAAATCCAGTCCAGACACCAGGTGTGGCTGATTGATTTGACGATGAAGGAACCGTTCTTGAGGCTATCCTTCAATTAATCGTTTTTACTCACTGAAATTGGCTCATTTTACGTTTGTGGGACTGTACTGTAGCCTATGCAATTTATTGTAAAACAAAACAATCAACAACGAAATTCTCTTGGGAGCCCAAAGAGAATGCTACTCGTTAATTGCTCAAAAATGCTACTCGTTTTCAAATTAGGCTAAATTTATTTACATTTCAATCAATTCAACAGCACAACAGGCCTCTGAAGACTGTAGGGTGAAGTCAGCTAAAATGGGCCACATAATGACTTAAAGCCATTAAGCTATGCATAATGATATTTTATAAATTAGTGGGTCTCTTAGCCCATCTCTTATGTGTGAGGAAAAAGTGTGAGAGTATAAGCAGGTACCTTCTGCCACGGCACAACATTCAGGTAAAATGGACCAGCTTGGTCAGTTAAGAAAGGTGTGAGGAGTTTTTATTTGTGTGTTTGTTCCATAGACGGTCTTACCCACTCTTTAACGTTCAATGCAGCAAGGGAGACGGATGGCATACGACTCTTGATGTCTTTTTTCCTTTTTCTTAACACATGTACGAAGGCCTTTGGCCTCTTTGGCATGCAAGCTGCCACTTTCCTGTCTTTTGTTTAAATTTAAAGTTTCTGTAAATCTATGATGTTATTACATTGTGCTCTAGAGGGACTGTTGGTCTCACAGACAGCCAGTAGCTGAATTCACTTTGGCTGGCAAAGCGAGCAATTAGACCTGGGATTAAAAAGGATTGAATTTAGAGGCCTGAGGAGAATTTTCCTGCCATCTCGAGACACTCCATTACCATCAAAAAACCAAGCCATGCTGAGTTACTGCTTGAGGGTAGACAGAAAAAAAAAAGCCACTCGGCACTGACAGAAAATACATTTGTATGTAAAGAGCTTGATTTTGACGTCAACATTGTGGAGGCAATAGTAGGTTATAACCAGTGTGACCGTAGTGATCAAACCTTGATTTTGGGGCAGAGACCAGGTGGAATTCATTCAGCGAACACTTGCAGGAGCCTGCCTTTCACCAAGTTATTCAAAGGAGTTCATATCTACTCGATACCATCATTCAGTAGCTAAGAATAATTATTCACTGAAATATATTACCACAGGTCAATTGAGTTCCTCTCATTTTTGAGGCTGAAATCTTATTTTCAAAAAAAGTGGTAGCCCAGGGAGCTGTCCATTTGCACACACAAAACAATATCTGTAATATTATATTGTTCATTTGCCATTCCATAAATCAAAAAAAAAAAAAAAAAAAAAACAGTCTTATTTCACCCAAAAATGAAAACGTCATCATTTACTCATGCTCATTCATTCCAAACCTGCGTGCGTGCATTTTACTTTTCTGTCTTGTTCTGGTTCAAATTGTTGTTTTGGACACCATTGACTTTCATTGTAAGTTTAAACATCTTCCAAAATGTTATTTTGTGTTTCACAGAAAAGAAAAGAGTGTCAAGCTTGGAATGACAGGTTTGGAATTTTCATTTTTGGGCAAATTACCACTTCGAGTTAAACTGTAAATATAATACTTAGACTATTCTAAAGCAAAGAGCACCCTTTAGAATGATACTGTAATTTGCAGATAGGGAAACAGGAAATACAAAAGGTTTATTGTAACAGGGCTGAAATCACTTCAGTTGCCGTTGAAAGGACTGCTTTAGTGTTAGTGTGCCACCCCCCTTCCACACTTCCAGTCTTGAACCATTAGTTTGTCACTCATAGGATCGTTTTGCAGAAACCGAGCTCACAGCCCTGAAGGAAATGCCTTATACTCTCATCAGTCACTAGAGAGATGGCAAGGCAGCCAGCTGTGCACATGTGTGTGGATGTAGGGAGGCTAATAGCATAAATGCATCAGACAGAGACTGCGACTGGCGAAACTACAAACTGTTGCTTTAGGTGGATTACTAAGATTACTTGTCTTTTAAATGGGCCTGAAATACCATGGCATCATTGAGTTTGTTATTCTTTTTCATTTGAATGCAAACATTATCTCAGTATGCATGGTTGTGAATGCCTTCACAAAATGTGGCTTTATGACATTTATTTTTCCCTATTCATTTGTTCAAAAACACATTAAAACCACAAGTCAGTCTTTTTATCTCTTTTATCGTAAGCCTTTTTAAAAGCCAATTATTAAAATGTATTTTGTAAAGCTCAATGTTATGGTTATACAAATGTTCTGATATCACAATGAAGAACACAATCCTCAAAAGAATTCAAATCTTTCAGAAAAAAAGGATAATATTGTAACAAAACTGATTCACTACTTTGTACTATTTGATAATTTCATGAAATCATGATCAAGTCATGAAGAGTGATCACGTTGTGATCCAATTAACTAACAGAAGCACAGAAGAATGTGTGTGTGTGTATATACAGTATATAGCCTATATATATATATATATATATATATATATATATATATGAAGAGTTCAGATGCAAAAGCCTCTAAATGCCATTTGAAATTTTCTTCTTTAATGATGATTTTTATCAAACTTGTATATTTAAGTTCAGTAATTTCACTTATATGGCAATGATAATTACCTATTAATTGTTATTTAAGTGAAATTACTGAACTTAAATATACAAGTTTGATAAAAATCATCATTAAAGAAGAAAATTTCAAATGGCATTTAGAGGCTTTTGCATCTGAACTCTTCATAATATATTATTTCTAAATGGTAATACTATTTTATAATATTACTGTATTTTTGAGAGAGACTTAAAAAAAAAAAAAGAAAAAAAAACCCACCTGTGCAATAGGCAGAACTTTTCCAAGCACATTTAAGAGACTTTGGGTCTTGCATGTGCTCACACACAAAACCAATCTGTCTAAATGTTAAATGTGTATGAAAGCACTGTTTAGGCTGCAACATGATATCATAGACTGAAGGTTTCCGCCAGACAAACCACAGTTCTGGACTCTGTGGGTACAGTGCAGACGCTCAGATCTAAAGTATCTCCGCTTACAGGGAAGGGCCAAGAGCTTTTATTCGTGATTGATGGAGAGGGCGGCCCTCAGGTCTTAGGAGTTCATCAGTATTCACAAAGCATTCCAGTCTGAGTCATAAGACAGAAGCACAAGGCATAATGACTAGAAAGCATGCACAGGAGGCAGAACGCGTCTATACGCAAACACTCACAGCTTGCAGGACAATAGCGATGAGATGAGGTCACATGAACTTGGGATTTATTGAACAGAACAATGCTGGGTTACAACATGGCAGTGTTGTTCAACATGGCATATTCTCGCAAGAATTTGTACATCTCAGTTGTGGTACAACATCAGGACATGAATTAACAAGACTGGAATCACAGTCAGCATATTCTGAGTCTGTAAGGACTCGACAAGGCCAACGACACACTATTGTAGGTTGAGACAAACAGCAGTGGCATGCAGAGGAGCTTATTTACATAATGGACAAAGATCTCTCCAGGTCTACGGGTCCATCTAGTGTCAGCCCAAGAGAACATCAACTACTGGAAAACGTCGGTTCTACTGTATGAGCTCATCTGAATTCATGTACTGGAGCTCTGATGTAAGATCAGCAATATCTCTAGCTGACTTGCAGAGAATTATTGTAAAAATAACTCTGGCCTGCTTCTGGATGATTTAAAACACACACCACAAGATTAATAAAAAAGGGAAACATTTTACACGGAACAACTACTATATAAATATAAAACAATGTAGTCTAGTAGGCAACAGGAAAGGTCTTTTTGATCGAGGGCATGCTTTTCACCCCCAAGAACAGATTTCTAAGCTTCTAAGCTTTCTAAGCTTAACTTCTAAGCTGCGATAGTCTTTTCTTCCGTGAAACGACTTCTCCCAAAAAAAAAAAAAAAAAAAAAAAAAAACGTCGGGTGGGACTTGATTTTGTCCTTCAGGAATTGATTATTAGGTGGTTGTGGTTTGCTATTGTTGTAATGTCACGTGAGTGAAAGGTTGTCCCGCCCTCATGCCAGTAAACGTAGCGGAATTTTGTTTAAAGATTACGAGGACACATTAATAATGTGCACGTATAAATAATTTATAATGCATACTGCAATATGCTACACAAATAATAATCGTCTATTTTGACTTCATGGTGACTTTAAACATTTCATTTTCTGGACTGTATTGAACTGGAATGTTGCAAAGTCTTCTCATTTAAATAGGTGACCCGGATAACATTACCTATAATAGTTTTTTTTTTTTTTTTTTTACGGTGAGAATTATATATAAAAAATATTAAACAAACAGTAGCTTAAGTGTTTATATATTATAGCTTTTCAAAATAAAAAAATAAAAAAAACTTTTCTTTTACAAAAAGCTAAAAGAATTTAAGTTAATATTTTATATAATTATTACTGTATTAAGGCAAATCTTTTTCTAACAATTGCGTTTATTTTATGAGATCAGTGTAAATGTTTGCATGCAAGTAAAAATCTAATAAAAATTCACTTCCAAATGACACAAATGGGTCAGAAGAAAATACTCTTTTATTGTTAAGTGCTGTAAAAGTAACAGATTTCAGGTCATAGGGTGTAACAATTTTTAGTCATTTAATTTCTTTTTCTTTAAATACAATTTCCACCAACTTTACGAGATAATACAGAGACAATGAACAATGGTTATCTCGCCTTCAATAATTGTCAAATGTCATCAGTTACTAAAATCCTTTAAAACCAGGTGAAACACAATAATTCCAAATCAAAGGTTGCAAGACTCAATCATTTCCTTTCCAAAACACCTCATCTTATAGTTTTCACACGGATGGGTCTTTTTTTATTAAAGTGTGGTGGTGAAGACTTTTAGAAGGAGGTCAGCAGCAAGACCGGGTGAGATATCTCCACACGTGACCCTTCGTTCCAGCTCCGGGAGCTCGGCACGCACCGCTGGGTGCTGCTGGAAGTGGCGTAGAGCGTTCTCCTGAATCAGATTCCACATCCACACCTTCTGCTGAGTTTGCCGTCGGGCTTGGAGCTCCCCGCTGCTCAGCATTGCATCCCGGAACTGTAGCATGGTGTCCCACAGCTCAGGCACACCCTGCCCTGTCTGAGAAGATATGCGGACCACCTGACCACACATGGGAAAGAGAGAGTATAAAATGTGTTGGTGTGGTTAACTTTAGACTAAATTGAATGAAAAAAAGAAAAAGCAGAGGAAAAAAGTAAGAGAGAACGAAAGCAGGCAGTTGCTTTACATATGAGCAGCCACAATGCAAAAATGTAAAGGGTGTTCGCCCACACACGTCACTCAATCCTTGTTTCAGTGAAAGACCTATATACGACCTTTAGGAGGGTGGAAAAAATCAATATGACTGTCGCATCCTCTAGTACAGGGATGGAGTTTAGAAATCATGCTGCTCAGAGGAAACAAAGGCTTTAGCGGTTCTAATCCACGTGGGTGGCCTCTAATCAGTCAAATGCATGAGGCAGCATTTGGCCATTCAAAGGGCTGCCTGTGCTGGCTCTGTGCCCTCTGGGTAGAACTGGCCAGCAGTCTCATTTATAAAACTATGCGTAGGATACTTACTAAAAGTGTATGTGCGCCCGAAAGTCAAAAATGGCCCAAAAAAAAAAAAAAAAATATCACACTTATAAAACCATGCGTACGCCAGAACCTGCGCAGAATTCACTTTATAAATCCCATTCAGTGAAAGATAGGTTATCTATGACCTAAGATACAATGCCTAGTTATACAATGCATGCATATCCTTCTTCTGCTTATCATTTGGATATGATTATTCATCTACGTGATAACATGTTTAACGACATTCGGACAATATGAGATACGGATGTGCCGTCACATTACATTAATAAAAATTATTTAGTAGCCTATCCTTGCCTTTTTTTTTTTTTTTGTCAAAAAAGACATTTAACTCCAGCTCACCATGTAATTCTTATATGGGAGAGAGGTGAAGAAGGAAAAGTGATCAAATACTGTAAAGGCAGGGCTGTATATTCTACTATTTAAAAGTTTGGGGTCTGTAAGATTTTTAATGTTTTTGAAAGAAGTCTCTTATGTTCACCAAAATCTGCATTTATTAATTTAGTTAAAACACTAAAATTGTGAAATATAACACTATTGTATTTTAATATATTTTAAAGTTGTATTTATTCTTGTGATGGTAAGGCTGAATTTTCAGCACCATTACTCCAGTCTTCAGTGTCGCATGATCCTTCAGAAATCATTGTAATATGATGATTTGTTGCACAAGAAACATTTCTCATTGTTGATAACAGTTTAATATAGTTGCTTAACATTTTTGTGGAAACCTTGATACCATTTTTTTAATTGCTTTTTTTTTTTTTTTTTTTTTTTTTTTACAAAAACAGAATCATTCAGACAATAAACAAGTTATAGTTCAATAGTTAACAGGAAAAATAATCTAAAGAAGCCTGGTTTATTGATTGAAAATTATTTGCCAAGAGAAAGAAAAAAGAAAAGCATATTATGAAAGAATATTAAACATGGTACAAATGCTAGATGTTTTTATAGCTTTCTTATAGTTATAGACAACTTCAGTTCTTGTTTGAAGATGTCAAAGTGGGGTTTACTCGTTGCATATGTAAATTTATGGATATAAAACTTCCCAATAAATAAAAGGAGGTTAATACAAAAACCTACTTTGATTAGATTCTTGTCATTAATATAAACCCCCAAAAAAGAATGCGTCTACAAGATAAGGGAAAAACCCCAATACATTTTTTTTTCAGGATTATTTAATGAATAGAAAGTTAAACAGAGTTTTTATTTTTTTAACTGAAATCTTTAGCAACAAGGTAAAGGTTTTTACAGACACTTTTGATAAATTTAGTACATCCTTGCTGAATTCAAATATTACTTATCATTATTATTGAGCGTGAAACTTTTGAACGTTAGAGTACATGTGATTTTTTTTCCAAATTTTCCCTTAAATATGCTGGCTGTCTTTAATGAAAAAAATCTTTAATGGCCATTTTCTTTAAAGGGATTATGTGTTACTTTTTATGTAATTTATTATTTAAAATAAATATTTTTATTCATAAATATGCCCTCAATGGTGTACAAATACTTATCCTCATAAACGAAGAATTTATTATCTTTATATACATGGGACGGGTAAGTCCACGGAGAGTTCCAATGTCATTCCAGTCAAGATAAACTATAATAGCAGAAAGGGACATAAAGTACTAGGCCAACGCGTTTCCACAACGAGTTTTCGTTCAGAGCCAACGTGACGTGACCGTCTGAAAGCAGCAGGAGAGGAGGAGCAGAGCGGTGAGAAACGCTTCAATGCCCCGGCAAGTTTAAAAGGCCGCATTGCAAATCCTCTTCCCCAGAAAAGTCCAAAAATAGATCTTAAAAGGAAACGTGACCGGAGATTACAAAAAACAAGAGTTAATGACGGGATAGTTTTATCCTGGTGATAGAGCTAATGCAGGAGAAATAGTTCAAAAGAGACGCTGAAGTCCTACTTTCTTCTCGACAGGTAAGTCAATGTTACAGTCTGAATTACAAGCTTTTTTCATTGTTTGTTGTGTACTTTATTATATAGACAGATGAATTATAGTTGATTTATAGTTAAAAGTTGATGATGATGATGATGATGATATCTAATGCACGTAGACTACTTCATATAATATAACGAATAAAGAAGGCTTGACTACTTGTAAGGCTTATTACAATAGATCATGTTTTTCACAGTCAGTAATTCATACCGTAATATTAGTTTGTTCATTATGTCAGGTTGCTGTTTGATTGAAATAACAAACCTGTTCACCTGAAGGAACACTTGACGAAAGGCTAATCATGTCATAGCTTTTTGGTACATAATAGTTACCGTAGATACAACGCGCATTTCAAAAACCAAGGCACTGAAGAGCACAATTGGTCTGAATGCAAAATACATTTTCACCGCTAGATGGCAGCAATTCCTATACATAGTCCCTTTAAAAGGGGAATTTTATTTCTTTCTTTACTTTATTTGAGTGTAAAATTGCTGTTGAGCATGAAAAAGGTCTGTAAAGTTACAAAGCACAAAGTCAACTTCAAATGGAGTTATTCTATATATATATATATACACCAGTAAGCACATTTCTGAACTCCCTGAAATACCTTAATTGTAGTCTTATAAGTTTCTTCCGGGAACATACACGTCATCAAATTCCTTATTTAAATAATTCCCACCCAAGATATATGAAAGAAAGAAAGAAAAAAAAAAAGTGGAGAGGCCTAGTGGAGTTGTGTTAGTAGTGTGTTGAAACTCGTTGTGGCAAGGGCCTTGACATTTCAGAAACACGCTCAAAGCGGTTGACCAATCACAACACACTGGTCCAGCCAACCAATAAGTGCACATTGCGCTTTTTGGAAAGAGGGGCTTAATAGAGATGGGAAATAAACAGAGCGTGACAGACTAGGAAGAGGGGTGCTGCAACAATAATATGAAAACATTTTTATCTTTTTAATAGTCAGGCATTAAAAAAAAAAAAAATAGCCTACACCAAAACCAAGACTTGCAGATATGATGGTCATCTTATATTGAATTAGGCCTACAATAAATTAATTACAATTGTATTTTTTTGTAGTAGTAGTAGTAGTATATGTGCAAGATATCAATGCAAAGCATGATTATAAAGTCACACACCTTTGGTTTCCAGACTTTGGACTTCTTTCGAAGTAACTTCAGGGCACTTGTGTATTCTGCCTGTATCTTCCGTGCAGGACCAACCAATTCACCATCTGATTTTGTAACCACCACCAGGTCAGCCATCTCAATAATTCCTCTTTTGATTCCCTTTTTGAAAATATAACTGAATCAAATTTGCTTCAATTATAAGAATCGCCTATAATATAAAACAATTAGTTCAGATAACTCCCTAAGTGATTCTCTAAATTTTTTCACTCCAATTCTTTTTATAAAATGCCAATTGAATTGAGTATTAAGATTTTATTAATTTAAAAGGAAAAAAAAAACTTTTTAAAATATTTACCCAGGTCTATAAATACCACTTAAAATGTATTAAATTTTAATCTAATTAAAATAAAAACAAAATTATATATATATATATATATATATATATATATATATACACACACACACAACACACATTTAAACATTTAAATTGATAACAAAAGGGATGAAGTAAAGGAATTGTGTATACCTGTAGTTCATCGCCCCCTGCTGGTGGGATCAGCAGCACAAACATATCCACCATGTCAGCCACAGCAAACTCAGACTGACCAACACCTGTGTAATCATTTAAATTTAAGTGACATTGCATACACTATTGTTTTTAAGATTAGCTTTTCTCAAAAATGAAAATACCATGAAAACCTGCAAACAAAGGCTTACCTACGGTCTCCACTAATACAATGTCATAGCCTGCACCCTCACAGAGGACTATAGCTTCGTTGGTGGTTCTCGTCACACCACCGAGGGTTCCTGATGTGGGAGATGGTCGGATGTAAGCGCTCATGTCTCTGGAGAGTTCTGTCATTCTAGTTTTGTCTCCCATCAGTGAACCTGCATTAAAGGTTAGCAAGGAATAGAATAAAAGTTTGGAAACATTACTATTTTTAATGTTTTTGAAGAAAGTCACTTATGCTCATCAAGCCTGCATTTATTAGATCAAAATATAAACAAAAAACTGTAATATTGTGTAGTTTTTTGGTACCTGTGTACTTTTTTTAGAATTAATTTATGGAAAAAGAACAGTGTTTATTCATAATAGTAATCTTTCCTAACAAAATAAATCTTTACCATCACTTTTTATAAATTTAACCCATCCTTGCAGAATAGAAGTATTATTTTCTTATTTTATTTTTTTAAAGAAAGAAAACAAATGACTGAACCCAAACTTTTGAACGGTATTATATATTGTTAGAAAAGATATCCATTCAAAATAAGAGCCGTTCAAAAAAAAATGATTTAGACTAAAGACTGGTTGTTTAGTTTAGATACTTTGGTTTAAAAATATATCATTCTACTTTACTTTTATTATCTTAATTAATTCATAAAAAAACATTATTTTAAACAAATATTTCTTGAGTACCAAATTAGCATACAAAAATTATTTCTGAAGAAGGATCATGTGACACTGAAGACTTCTGAAAATTCAGCAATGCCATCACAGGAATAAATTATATATTAAAATTATATATTATAAAATTACTAAAATTAAATTACTAAAGTGACTTCTAAAATCTAAAATTGGCACCATCATCTGTAGGTAAATGTTTTTCAGACATGTGAGTGCCTGTTCACCTCCAGTTGTGCATGAGGAAGGATCCACAGCCAGAACGGACACTTTCTGTTCTCTTCCTGTCAGCATCTTCCCAACAACCTCAATGAATGAAGATTTTCCAGCTCCAGGGGGACCAGACAGTCCTGAAGTCACACGTACAGAGAGGTGATTGAGGATTGAGGGCATTCATGCAAACGGCAACACGGTTCATTTCACTCCTTTAGTTCACATCACCTTACTGACCAACTCTGAAGGCCGCCGGCTTTCCACCATTGCATCTCTCCTGCTCCTGACGAAAGGCCAGCACTCTTTGAAGCAGAACCTGGGCTAACTCTTTCTTCCTCGGATGCTGGGTTTCTACAAGGGTTATCGATTCCGCGAGAGCTGCCCTTTGACCCCCGACAAGTCCATCATAAAGCTTGGTCAGTAGTCTTTTCTCCCTGTCAGTCAAGTTTAAAATGTGATGGCTTATGGCAGTCTCAGCTGAAACAGATCTTGTCTGTTGGAGGGTGCAGAGGGAGGCATAGCACAGTATTGCAGTACGCTTACAAAGGGAATGTCTTAAAGCCATTGTACTGTGTATAGGAAAAAGAACGGCAGCATGATGAAGAATAGGAAAAACTCTAGTCAGACCCATCTTCCTTATCCTGTTGAGTAGAACTCTTTCTGCAAAAACAGCAAAGAATATCTATGTGAATAGCTTTGAAATGTTACCTTTTTACAATTGGTGAAAATTTACCAGTCTAAATAAATGGGAAGAAAACTTCTAAAAAATAAATAAATAAATTGAAAGGCGGATAAAATAGTGGAAATAGCTTAAAATACTTAATCGAATTATAATCTATTATCATTATTATTCTCTAAGAAGAATTACAGAAAATACCATTATGGCAAACAACAGAGTAGCAAATTTAGCTAAGTTGTCACTCATTAGGCTAAGTCAGTTAGGGAGTAATGTTTGTTTACTTATCAATTTATAAAGCATAAGCTAAAAAGAAATGTTCGTTTGGTCATTTTAATTGATTAACATTTTAATAGTTACTATAGTAAGCTTGCTATATTTGGTAGCCACCACTGATAAATAGTTATACAGATTCAACAAGAAATGTATATTCTAAAAGCTTAGCTAGCCTATGGCGATGTGTAAATGCAATATTAGCTCATGGGGATTGATTACACAGCGGTAGCCCAACCAAGATCATATAATGGTATATTTGATCGGAGCAGCCAATCTCTGTTATCCACTTCATAGATCACATAATTTCATAACGTTAATACATTTCAAACCGATCACAGAAATCAGACAAGCAAAACTGACCATCTGGAATGAAAAGCAGCATCGATCAAATCACCAAGTTTTCTGAAACCGTCTGTGTATCGTCATCTGGACAGATTGCTTACAAATCGTAATCTTTAACTGCTAGCCATGTTATGTGTTATATCATGGATTCCCAAAACCAGGGTTGACAGACACTGAGGTCGTGCAAGTGAGGGACTTCAATGTTCTTTCAAATAAAAGTTTCCCTCTTCAAAATAAAAGTCCCTATTCGCTTTGGAATAAAACGAGTCTAATAATATTCTTATCTTATTTAATTTATTTATCTTATTCTATATCTTATTTAGATAAACATAATGGATGATGATGTTGTCTTTGAAAATTTTGTGACATCAGTGGTTTGTAGTCAGCTGTGAGTTTTGTATGGTGTGATTATGTTAATGTTATTATTATTATTTATAATTTTATAATTTTATCAACCTTATCAACCCGACAAAAAACAACTAGTTTGTTGCAGGTTTATTTTATTTAAATACATCAGATGCTTCAGAAAGTTACAAGCCAACATCAACAGTGGACGGACCATCAATGCAGTTTGTGTAGGCTATGCAAAGAGGTCACTGCTATGACTCCTGTCTACCTCTCAAATAAATTATCATGCGCCTGTGTTTAATAATAAACTGCAGGAGAAACTTTATCGAATATCAGACACTGCTACATAACCGAGCTAGTAGTGGCTAAACACTTGGATTTCATTTTAGCAATGCTGATCACCAGAGTCATTAGATCCGTGACAGTGAGTGACACACAAGTGACATTACAGAAAGGGTTTACATGCATTTTGTATTCGCTGTGATTTATTAAACAATTAGCTCAGCTTACAATGTGAGCAAAGTATTTTAAGTGGCAAATAAGCAGTAGGCCATGAATGACAATTAACATATCTTTGCAGTGGTGGCATGAAAGGGGTGATGTTTATATTTATTTAGTATTAGAACATGGGTCTTAATTAAGTCTACCTAAAATGAAATCTAATTTCCCAAATTATAAACAAATCATTTATTTTACTTAAAAAAAATCCTACATATCAATAAAAGCCATTGATTGAATTGTCATATTTATGAGCATTTATGAGCAATATTAAAATAAATAATAATGTATGATCATTTGTCAGGCATTTAAGTCAGGCAATATTACTGGGATCCTGTCCATAAGATGTCTTCCGCCCTCACGTGGCCGTGAGAGGAAAAACGCCACCAAGAATAATCTAATGTAACATTATTGTACTTTTGAGGACTGTTAGACAAATAATATGAAATGTACAAGAAAAAATATTATTAGATATTATGATACTAGGCTAATTACAGATTGTCATGGACTCAAATTGTCACCTTAAATAGTTAAATACTAATTAAATAGGCAAGACAAATATGTTTTGTTTTTGTTTTTTTTGTTTTCAAGCAGTGGTTTTGTTTGAAACACCAAAGTGATGTTGCAGCCTATGCAAGACTAAAGGCCATTGCACACCGAGCACGAAATATTCGTATGCGTATTTTCGTGTTCGTCAGCTTAAAAATTCGTCACGCATAGAAACCTTGCACACCGAGTCCGTTGCGTATTTCTTAAACCTTTGCGGGAAAAAACGCAAAAATACCAAATGGATTCGTCAAGCAGTGAGGATGATTTTTGCCCTCTCTCTTATTGAAAAGGGAAGAAAGAAAAAAAATATTACGTCCATCCAATCCTGAAATTGCGCCGAGACCGAGAGGAAGGAGACTTTCCTTTTTAAAGGAGTTGCGAATTTATCCTGAGCGATTCAAAATTTACCTCAGAATGTCAGTGGGACAGTTCGATGCTTTGCTAGCGATTCTAGAGCCACATATTAAAAACAAGACCACCAATTTCCGTGAACCAATCGATTCTGAACGGAGACTGGCAGTGTCTGAAATGGACCAGGTATGGACACACACACACGGACAAACACACACCCGCGCGCGGCCCGTTGGAAGCGCTGGGCAGACAGAACAGCTATAGGCTGTTATTGTGTATTGTGCCCAAATAACACATTAGTTATCGAATAGGCTGATCACACCTTTTTCGATCCTAAATTTCAATCTGATTGAAAGGGGAGGTTTATTAATTTCATAATCCAATATAGAGAAGAGAACATAAACACTTGATCGAATTGAAAACCGAAACTGAAAGCACGGCGCATATGTGCAATGATTTGAGGACGAGCTCCCCCCGGCCCTGAATTGTCAAAAGACCTCTCAAAATGCTGGCTCTGGATGCGAAAAACGCAGAAAATCGAACCCGATCCGATTAATTTTATGTCGGACGAAAGTTTCGGAGGCGGTGTGCAAGCGTGACTGACATAACGTGAGGTCGAATTTTTTTTTTAACGTGCGAAAATTTCGGATGCGAATTTCGGACTCGGTGTGCAATGGCCTTAACACTCCTTTCAGGACTTCAATGAAATATCATAAGCTTCATTATCTACAAAACATTTATTATTTTTGATGAAAGAAATTTTAGGTTTCTCTTTTTAAATAATTTGTCTAGTTAATTAATTAATTTGTATAATTTGTATTAATTTTAAATAATTTGTGTTTAATTAATATTTTATAGCCTATAACAGAGAGCTCAAATTGAGGGTCAGTTGAACCACCGAGTTACTAACCATCATTTTTTTGGGATAGGTGCCTTAATTTTTAGAATAATCATTTATGTAATTTATTATGCAATGACATTTGGACATTAAGGCCTGGTTTCACAGACAGGGTTTAGATTAAGCCAGGATAAGGCCTTAGTTCAATTGGGACATTTAAGTAGCTTTTATATTTTATTACTTTATCTTTTTTTTATGTATTTGAATATGTACTTGAAGTGTTTTATGTGAGGCACCATGTAAGCTCAAACTAATTGCCCTACGGGGATTAATAAAGTTCTAAAAAAAAAAAATAAACAAATAACCGTGCCTTAGGAAAAGAAAAGAAAAAAAAACATCGCTGGTGTGCATATTGAAACAAAACAATGCGGCACTGACAAGATATGCAGTCAAAATAGCTCAAACATGCATATTAGTCTGGGACTAGACTTAAAGGGGTCATATAATGCAAGTTAATTTGATTCTTTAGGGTCTAAATGAAAAGTTTGTAATATATAGGCTACTTTAATAAAACGCTTTGATTAAACCGGTGATATAAAAAAACGTGATATAAATTTTTGGTCAAACCGCCGAAGTCTGTACATTTTGCAAATAAACCTGATTTGCATTATATAGTCTACAGTGTGTGTTTAGATTCATTGATTATAACAGGAGTTTTTATAACAGGATCACGCGAGTGATCTCAGTCAGCCGCATTTTAAAGTGAGCGCTTGATTTAATATATAAAAACATAATTGAATGAAAATTTTAAATGTTATCCAATCAAGGAGAACCACCCTTTTTATTTAGCCATAAAAGCTTTGACACAAATCAAACACTACTTGATATGTATCATAGTAATATGCAGTTAGCAGTTCTGTTTGCAGTTACATTCTGCAACTTTTTCATCCATATGATTCATATTGTTTCTTTTGCAGGGCCATGCAAAATAGTAATCAAAACCTTGACTGAAAACCTTGACTGAAAAACTGAATCTTTAAGTAGCAAAAGCAAATCTAGTGAAACATGCACCAAATTTAAGCTTCCTAAAATATATGTTGTTGTTTTTTTTTTGTTTTTTTTTTTCGTATACAAAAGTTCCATTGATAAAAGTAAAGTATAGTAAAAGTCTTTGGACTTAAATCTGTCATAAAAATAAAACAAACCAAATAATTAAATTGTCACTAGTTGAAATGTCTATTCTTGATATCAACAATTCAATTGCTAATAGTACAAATTTTCATGATATCACATTCATGAATTTGAATTTAAACTAGCAAGAAATCATTTCTTGCCGTTTTAACTTTTATTCATTTCCAGGATATGAATTGTTGATATCAAGAATTAAATTGTTGATATCAAGAATGACATTTTTTGATATCAACAATTTAATTCTCAATGTCAACAATTTCATTCTTGATATCAACAATTGAGTTCTTGATGTCAACAATTTAATTCTTGATTTAAAAAAAAAATGTAATTGTTGATATCAACAATTGAATTGTCCATGTGAGTGCAAGTTCAACCTTAGTGTTATGAAGTGACAAGAATACTTTGTGTGTGCAAAAAGCAAAACAAAATAATGAGTTTATTCAACAATTTCTTCTCTTCTGTGTCAGTCTCCACGGGCTGCGGGACCATAGGGAAGGCATGAGCTGAATTGACCCAGGTCATAAATGCGAAATACTTTCAGCCTCTTGTGTGTCCTGCCTTTAGAGACATACTTGATGGCACATGTAGAAAGAAACCACAGTAAATCACACCAGCCTAATTATGACATATGACATTTATATCATATATGGAATCCATCAGTTCTACGGGTCCCTCACCTTGCATGGACCTGTTGAGTTTCATGGACTTCCATGGAGGAACCCTCGACATGTTTTGCGGCGACAGAACTTTAATGCTGCTAACATTTGCTGTGAGTGAGTGAGGTGTTTTTGCACATAATGTGGAAAATGTGAGGTGTTTTTGTAATGCATTTAGACAAATAACACTGCTTTCTGTTTTTGTTTCAGCTCATGGAGTAAGACTGAGAACATCAGCGAACAACTCCTGCCATGGCCACCCTGTTGTTATCTGTCCTTAGTCAGCTTTGCCTCTGACTCCTGACATGAGTGACCTTTCCATACCTCCATTTAGGCCTTCTCAGTCTTGTCCTGGTAGCGTCTGATGCCTTGACTTGAGGCAGCTGTTTACAATACCACCAGATGCAACTATTGCAAATGATCTTATACATTTTCACACAAAATGTCTAATAAATAAAGACATTTTGTAAGAAAATGTATCAAACATTTTTTTAAAGAAAATTCTTAAGAATATTTATACAATAAATGTTATTTTACAAGACAATTTATGAGAACATTTGAAGGAAACTGTACGAGACTTATTGTAAGAACATTTGTAAGATATTTTGTAAGAAAATTTGTACGAAATTGTCCAATAAATGCATATTTATATTAAACTTTTCCCTTGTAGAGTTTCATAGTACATTTCTCTGACATCACCCGCCCTTTGACCTTCTCTGACAGGCTCCTGCTGTGGCCCCAGAGCTCAGAGGTCATGTCATGACCAAACATCTAC